CTCGTCCTTAGTTTACGCATTGACCATTGTTTATCGCCTGGGAGAGGTGGGGGGTAGGGGTCGGAGGATTTTGCTGGTCTCACGATAAAATTTGAAAATTAAACGAGACTTACCTGGAAGTTGAAGTTTGATTGAAATTCTATTGAGTCACAATCTGCACTAAGGGATCACATGAAATTGCAGCACGCATGCGCACGTCAGTTTTTGAAGCTCGATTATGAATGCATCGGCAATGTATCCTGTAGTAGGTACTGTGTTATATATGTACCTAACTCTATCATAACGTGATGAGGGTAGGGTGCAAAAGCATCCTTTGCAAAGAGGGTGGGTATGTGATCCCTTGGTGCAAATTGACTCAATAGAATTTCAATCAAACTTCAACTTCCAGGTAAGTCTCGTTTAATTTTCAAATTCTATCTCCTCACAATTCTGCAAAGGGATCCCATGAGATTTTAAAGTCATGTATTCAGATGAGAGCTTACAAGAATTATATAACAAGTGATAGTCTGTTTTAATGGTAAAACAAATGCAACCATAAATTGGATAACATGATACTAAAGAAACACAATAAAATTAGCTGTGTAATTGCTTTAGTTCTAACAGCTCATAAATGCCTTTACAACATAACTTAGAATAAGTCTTAAGCAGTTGTGTCTAGTACAGCTATGTCAAAAGAGGGGTTCTCTTTTAATGGTTTGTTATAAAATGTGTCAAAAGTTCTGGAGGAGCTCCATCCAGCCCTCTCTAGAATGTCTTGCAAGGGAAAAGATGCAGCTTTGGTTTTTGAAGTTGCTGCTGCACGGACACTATGGGGCTTGAAAACACATCTTTTCCAGCATTGAACATCACTTGGCGTATCCAACGAGAGATAGTTTCTCTAGAAACCATGTGGTGAGGTTTAACATAGCTTATGCAAAGTTTCGTTTCAGATTCTCTGAGTGGTTTCGTCTTGGCAACATATTCCTTCATATGCTTGTGTACGCAGAGTGTGTCATCGTGAGGAAATGCCTTCAAAGATACAGACGGAGGTGTATAGCCTGGACGGCTTTGTTTAATACGTTCCGACAACACAAATTCAAACACTGAGTTATTTTCTTTCATAAAGTCTAAGTCCAGCATGTGGAGGCTCTGGCCTCGTTGTGCAGAGACAAGGGCTACTAGCATTATAAGCTTCTGGGTCAAAAGTTTCAGGGTTAAATTGCTTGCTGTACCCAATGAAGAAAAGTAAGTCAGAACCTTGTCAATATCCCTAGTGGTCTGGTAGCGAGGGCGTGGTGGTTTATTTTTGAAAATTCCCCGCATGAATCTCGAAACTACCGGGTGGTTTCCGATGTTGATGTTATCTTGAGGTAAGATAATTGCTGACAAAGCACTGCGAGTAGTGTTAATAGTTGTATATTCCAAGCCTTTCTTGTGCATTTGAACAAAAAAAATCAGGCACTAAGTTCAGAGGTGGGTTGTATGGATCAGTCTGCTGTTCAGAAGAAAACTCAAGCCATTTTGTGATGTAAGGTTTATATTGATTTTGCGTCCCAGTAGACCAGGATTGAACAATAAATTCTGTTGCCTTCTTTGAAAATCCTCTCTGAAGGAAAGTTTTTCTGAGACTTTGCAGGCCATCATTCTGAGCTGGTGCCTGAGAGGGTGTACGGATCCATCGTGTGGCTGTGTGAGGAGGTTGTTCGACTGGAAAGTATCAGCGGGTTGTCCACCAACAAGTGAAGGCTGGTGAACCAAGTTTGTGTTTTCCAAATTGGTACTACAATTACACCCTGTTGCTTGGTCTTGGTCTAGTTTTTGTAGGCAATCTGCTATGACACTAAAAGGGGGAAAAGCATAGAATGAGTAAGGTTCCCAATCCATGAGGAATGCATCAATAAATGTTGCATCTGGGTCTGGTCTCCAGGATTCATACCTTAAAGTTAAGTCTGGATGCAAAAAGGTCCAGATCAAAGTTTCCAAAATGTTTTCGAATATCCTCAAAAACCTGTGAGCATAATGACCCTTCAGTAGAGGTTTTAAATACATATGACTCTTCGTCAGCTTGTGATTTTTTGGATCCTGGGATATGGCATGCACATGGGATATGGTGTGCCCAGTGATCTTAGATGTGCATAAACAGGTTTCAATATTTTTGTAAATATTCTAGGGGCACATGATAAGCAATTGGGAAGGCAGGTAAAGCGGTACAACTTATTATCCCACTCAAAAGTGAAATATTTACGATGTTCTGTTGCAATCAGTATGGAGTAGTGAGCATCTATTAAGTCTACAGATGCCATAGAACAATTTCTCCGAACAAGCGTGAGGGCAGTATGAAACGTATCCATCTTGAAATGATGGTAGTCTACAAATTCATTAATTGGTTTCAAGTTCAGAATCACTCTACAAGTGCCATCCTTTTTAGGTCTTACAAATATGTTAGAGAGGTAGTCATCAGGTTTGCTCTCTGTACACTCAATCACTCCTTCTGAGAGTAGTTTTGATGTTTCTGAGCTTACAACATCAAATTCTGTGTTAGAGAAAAGAATACTTTTAGGTTCCATGGTTTGTTGAGGGAATTCTACCTCAAACTCTATGTGATAATGCTTTATGGCATCTAAAATAACTGGGTCACTAGTAAGCAATTCCCAGTTACGTGAGTGTTGGCTCACAAGACCTGCTTGGAATGTTAAGCATTTCCGTCTGAGGTCATCTTGATCAATAGTACTTGATTGTGTATAAACAGAACCACTGAACATATTACTTACAATTTACCTGTTGATTTACTGGGTTTTGGTGTTGTGTTTTTTTTTTGGGTTGTTTGGCTGGATGCATGACCCTATCCTAAAAAAGGACGTCTGTGACTTTTGATGCTTCCATGCCAGTTACTATTAGAATTTGTTGAGGCTCTCTCATATGGCTTAAAGCGGTGAGTCTTGTGTTTGGGCTTTGCAGATTGGCTATTTCTCTGCATCTGTTGACCTGCTTTCTTAGCATCAGTCATTTCTTTCAGGTGTTTGAATAAATCATCACCAAAAATTTTTCTAGAGGACTTAAAGTCTTCCTTGCAAAGTCTTGTCTATGGTGAATTAAGACCAGGTTTGATCACATCACGTCTCCTCATATTAAGTTTCCAGCTTGCGTTACCGAAAATGGCAATGCAATCCATAACCTGGTCCAGAGTTTCTCTGACATTGGTTGTTTTGGTTTCTTGAATATCCTTCACAAGGCGGTCAGCTAGCATCACTAATGCCGACAGACCTTGTACAAGAGGTTCTTGTACCTTTTGGAAAGCTAGATCGACTGATCTGTTCTTTCGGGAGATTAAGTCCCAAATTTCTTTATTGACCTTTACGGTTCAGGAAGGTGTTCGCAATTTTCCGGTGGCGGATATTTCTCGCCTTTCTCCTTTGCCGTCCCTTCCGGAAGGTCTCCGGTGAGAATGTTATCTATGAGCGAGGCAATTTTGGCATCAACAGCCTTGAATTTCTCTGTATTTGATATTAGAGCCTGAGTCAGGCTATCTAATATGTCTGTATCAGCACCTGAGGCTGATGTGTTTTTGGCGCCACCGGACAGAGTCTGTCCTGCAGTGGCAGCTTTGCTCGCATCAGCGATAAGATTATTCATGGCGGCCGTTGGGTCAACGTGTGCACCGGACGGTTCATCCTCTTCATTTTCCGTATCTGCGCGTTCAAGTTGAAGAAAGATCTCATCTTTGAGGCTATGAAAAGCCTCGGCTTGAGTTTCTGATGCTCTGGTTAACTGAGCGATCGAGTTTTGCAGTCCAAGTACGACTGATGTAAGATCGATACCATTCGAACCTTCTGCAGTGTTCTTTGCTGAATTCCTTGCCTCCAAGTTGCTTTTCTCAGTCATTCTTGTAGGTTTTCTTTGATAAATTGGCGATTAGTTTAAATTCCAGGGGATATTTCAATAGTTTTCGTAACAAGGGTAAAACGTGCTTCTTCTCTTGACGCGCGAAGCGAAAGCACTGACGTGCGCATGCGTGCTGCAATCTCATGAGATCCCTTAGCTTTGCAGAATAGACAATAGAGAACTTAAGCACCAGACGTTCTTGACAATACGAACGGCAGAGAAGCCGCGTAAGACTGGATCGAGGCCTTCGTTCTTGGCGCGAAAGAGGAAGGTTAAGAAGTCGACGTTTTTCAGACACGGACTTCTACCCGTGTTAACATGTCTTTGCTAAAAGATGCTAGAGATATGACCTTAATGAGCAAGGGAAAAAGTTTCTTTACCCCACTCTCTTGACAGAATGAATAATTCGTCAGTTTATTAGGCGACTTGAAATTTACCACTTCATAGTTGTGTAAACAATGCGAACAAACGAGCGAGCATGAAGTTTTCAGTGCATGATCTGGATGCCTAGAGGACCATTTCTCTTTTTCTAAATTCGTTAACCACAGCGAGATTTGTTATTCTTATGTTTGTAGTCGGTTGCTCAAAACCTAGCAGGCATGCATACGATATACAATGTGCAGTTACAAAATACAACCGATGCAGAAAGACAATCATCTATCTCATTTTGNGTCTGCCATTGTCGAATCCCGTTTAATCTATCGATTAAGCAAAAACCACTTTACGCGCTACGAAAACGTTTTTTAATCACTTAATGAAAAGCAGAAGAGCTTTTTATGGTTTTGAGTCAATAATTTATCTCCTATAAACAAAATAACAGCATATTTTTGTGGCGTCCTACCTTCAACCTGAAAAGTGGCGTTCTGGCGTCTGCGACGTGACCACGCGAACGTCATGACATGCGCAGTATGTACATAGTTCCTCTAATGACTTCCGGTAGGCGTTCGTGACCTCAAGAACGTCTGGTGCTTAAGCTCTCTAATATTCATATTCCCCGACGGTCCTGGGACGAGTAAGCACTTGCGCACTTGACGTTAGCGTCTCAAACCATTACCTATTATAGAAGAAGATACAGAGAGTTTATTTTTACAGTTTTTAGACTATTTTATTCCCAAAAACGTAAAAAATACACAAGGGCTATGACAGTTTATCGCTGTTGTGTTGGAGGTTGCGACAACGATTCGAGATACAAAGAGAAAATCGTAAAGAGAAGCCACGTTGAGGGCGAACTCCGTTGGCATCATATCCCTAAACAACCAGAGAAGAGAAAGCAATGGACTAAGAACGTTTCAAAAGGCCTGTCTGGCTTTGTTGCCAGCGACCACAAGACTGTTTGCTCCAACCATTTCGAGTATGGAAAGCCAACATTCGCTTCTCCGAATCCAACGCTATTCTCTGTGCCTAGCGACAAGAACAAGTCATCGCCAAGAAAGCGAAAGCTACCAACTAGGACGTCAGAAGGCCCATCGACTAAAGAAACTAAAGAACTCAAGTACAAGGAGACAGGGTCCCAATGCACCATAATAAACCCTCTGGCTTATTCAAGCCTAACATTTGCTCATTTGACACGTGAACACGATGTTAATAATTTTACTGGTTTAACAGTTAAGAGTTTTCGATTAATCTTCGACCATGTCAAAGGAAAAGCTTTAGTGATGCACTACTGGAAAGGCCCTAAAAGAACAGGGGACCTATCTAAACTTAAAATTGATAGACAAATGAGAGCCCTCACTTTAGAGCAAGAGTTTCTGCTTACTATGATGAAGCTCAGACTTGGTCTGTTCCTCTTTGACCTAACATTTAGATTTGATATTTCAGCATCAGCAACAAGCTCAATATTCACCACATGGGTCAAGTTCCTGGCAAAAGAACTGAAGTGGCGGTTAGTATGGCCAGACAGAGTAGATACTCACAGGAATCTTCCTGATATGTTTAGGAAGTACTACCCTAAGTGTAGAGTTTTACTGGATTGCCCTGAAATCTACATCGAAACACCATCTGATTTGGCAGTAGCTGCCCAGTGCTGGTCTGATTATAAACATCATCGCACCATTAAATTTCTTGTTGGCATTACTCCCAATGGTGCAATATCATTACCATCTGATGGTTATGGTGGAAGAGCTAGTGACCTATTCATTGTTGAAGACTGTGGTTTTGTTAACTACCTAAAGCCTCATGATCAAGTTATGGTAGACCGTGGTTTTAAAATCAAGGATTTACTTGCATTTTACCAATGTTCACTGGCTATACCTCCCTCAAAACATGGTAATCTTGAAATGTCAGGGACTGATGTCAGGGAAACCTCACTTATAGCCAATGACCGAATCTATGTTGAGCAAGCAATACGAAGAATTAAATGCTTTGAGATCTTAAAGAAAGAATTACCAATCACCCTGCTACCACTTGCAGATGATATTGTAGTTCTTTGCTCAGCACTGTGTAACAAATTACACAGTGCTGAGCATTACTCATTAGACAACCCAAACATCTGTTTGGGTTGTCTAATGAGTACAACTTCTCCTGGCTTAGTCTTTTGTTCTTGAGCATGCGCTTTGAGATCAGCATAGACCTTTATTTTCTGCTTTTGCAGAGTATCTCGCTGGGCGAATGCTATTTGATTGATCTTGAAGTGTGCATCGTGGCAGCTGGTGTTGGGTGATTGGTAACTCTGGTATTGTGGTCTTGAGTTTTCTACTGTTTAGGGCCTCACTTGGAGACACATTGATGGTGGAGTGAGGTGTTGCACGATATTGTCGTAAGAACTTGTACAACTCTTGCTTCCAATTTTTTGCCTTCTAGGTGAGCAATTCTGATAGACTTTTGGAGGGTCTGAACCAGTCGTTCTGCTTCTCCATTTGCTCTTGGCCAATACGGAGTGATCCTTCTATGCTTGAATCCTAAGTAGTCAGAAAAGTTCTTAAATTCATGACCATTAAACGGTGGACCATTGTCACTTTTCAGGACATCAGGAATACCTTGTCTTGAGAATATCGCATCAAGTTTAG